AGAACAGATCGCCAAGTGTCACGATCCTTACAAACCTCTTTCGCTTCTTTCAGATTCATTATCTTCTTCATGCATGCACGTCTAGGTATCCGAGTACTTTTGACCAAATTTCAATTATTTTTTTCAAAATTAAAATATTTATTGTAATTTAAGTGTTACAATTGGCGTTAATTTAAAATATGACGTATCTTACAACTGAACCACCCTTTTTGGTTATTACAATAATCGATCTGTAACTTACATAACTATATTGATCATAAACCCTTCAAAATTGTAAAAGAAATTAAATTACATGACTTAGCTATTATAAAATTACAAATAAATAATTGTTTTAGTTAAAGCTAAATACTCTTTAAAACACAAAGCGCGCACACAACGAACGAATGACGCTCTTACTCTTTGCTGGCTTACTTGATCCGTTCATTTCGTAGATTTAGTATCTTATTTATCTAGTCAATTAGAAGCAATATTTACAAAAACAACATAACTGTGTTACACATAATTATTCAGTATTGAAAAAAAAACTTAATATCTATTTAAATACTAAATTTTGAGTCATTAAATATTTTAATTAATTATGTATTTCTGGTTATTTATTCATATTAAACTGATGTTTCATAGTTACATTTCCTACAAATCAAATAAAATAAAAAAATAGGCTTTGCATTTATGTATTTTTTGCCAAATATTGTTAGTTATGCGGTTTTTGTAATAAAATTTCTAGATTTTCCTGAAGTTAAGTTGTTTTTGTAACAAAAAGAACAGATCTTCTAAATATTTCGTAATAAAACTCATTTAAAATCAGCAACCAGCTATTTATTAAAAAGTTGGTACTTTTAGGTATATAATTATAAAAAATGCTAATTATCTTCTGTGCCACTACTATTGTCCTCGTTATCTACTTCATTAGCTAATGAGGTGGTAGCTTCAGATGTAGTAACTGAACCCAATAGATCTGCATAAAATTTGTGACTCACAGGGCTTGATAAATAATGGGTTAGTTTAAGTATATCATTATATTTATGAGGATTTAACGGCAATCTCGATTCATAAGTAGGTTGAAGTTGAAGTTTTTTAGGCAGTTTTCTTTTATTGCGAATCTGTATCCTGTGCCATGGACCAGTAAAGTTATACCTGACTTGAACATAAGGAACATCTTTATTTATTTTAAGCATCCTAACTTCTTTCAGCTTAATTGCAGGTTTTGGCTGACGTAAAAAATATGGACTAACAGCTGCTTTCATATTCATAAAATCAGTATGGTTTATTTTATCCACAATAAAAGGTGATGGATTTTTTTTTACAAAAACTACACAACTGTAACAGTTATGTTGTTTTTGCCAAATATTGATGCACATATGTAGTTTTTGTAAAATAACTAAATTTTTAACAAGAGATTTCTCGTAGTTGAGTAATTTTTGTTAAAAATGGATCAATGCGTTGAAAAGCCTATTTGAAAACGAACAAAAAGTTGCCAGTAGTAAAAAAATACGAAAAATGACAGTTATGTTGTTTTTGTAAAAATCACTTCTTCTCTATCTATGGTTCATATTATACAGCAGCTCAAACTCGAGTTAGGGAGAGAACTCGAGTTAACTCAATTTAAGCGCAACTCGAGTTAGTAACTCGAGTTGACCCATCACTAAGTTTACATTCTTCTCGGAGTAAAAGTATTCTGTGTTGATTCTGTGATAATAACTGCCTCACAGAATACATGTACCCCATTTCTGTATATATAAAGGTACTCTGTGATGTACTCTGACGGGATCAACTGTTCAGGCTCAGAAGGGCTAGAACCCAGAGCCGTAAAGCCAGTTTTATAAAAATAAAAGATCAACTCTCTCAACCCATAGATATAAGGATATAAGAAAAACTCAACCACAGAACACTACTCCTCAACAAGGAGAATATAACCACTACCAGGTGATCAAACTTTGTTTGAAAGCTGAGAAATCTGCACACAATCAAGATTTTGTCAATATTCGTGTTGGGCTTGTAAAAATAAAGCGAGAAAAGGCTTAGCTTTCCATTGACGTCAGTGGAGTTTGGTGTTGATACGTATTTTTACAGAAAGATTACACTATTATAAGCACACACACAAAGTCTTAATATACGGAAACGCGTAATTTTTGAGAAAAGAATAATTGAAAATCAATTATTCTTGCAATGTTTATGTCTAATCTGCTAATAAACTGGCGCCATTTTGTAATGTCATTGTCGACGTCAATAGGGATGTCGATTCTTTCCGAAAAAGGTCGATTTTTAAATCGATTCAAATCGTAAGCTGATGTATCGGTTCACAAAAAATCGATTTCGAAAATATCTATATTTTTTTAATGTTTCTATTTATAATGTAAATATAAACCCATTTTATGAAAAACAAGAAAGATACCATGATAAATGATCTCTTATTAAAATTTGTTTTATTTAACAATATCTATTAGGGCAGATAACAAATAAGATAGGTTAGGTTCAACTTATGTCAAAGAACCGAATTGATTGACCCCGACTCCACCTGGTACGAGTCTGTCCTACCCCTAGAGTGGTTTTATAGAGCCGGAGGCGCGTAGGGGGAGCAGCCTCCGCCTGCTGTAACAAATCGTAGGCATCAGACGAGCCGGAGCGGCTGAGGCTGGTCGCCGAAGGCGACCAACAAGCCGAAGCTGCGGAGGCGAGGAGGGATGCCTGCGATTTGTTACGCTAAGGCGTAGAGGTTGCTCTTCCCGCAGCGCCGGAGACGTAGCAGTCTCAAAATAGATACAGAAATCCTTATGAATCAGTCCTCTTATTTTTTTATGATGAAGGGGATTTTTTTCTCATAAAATGGACTTATATTTACATTATAAATGCAAACATGAAAAAAATATCGATATTTTAGAAATCGATTTTTTCGGGAATCGATACATCAGCTTACAATTTGAATCGATTTAAAAATCGACCTTTTTCGGAAAGAATCGACATCCCTATTGACGTCAACAATGACATTACAAAATGGCGCCAGTTTATTAGCAGATTAGACATAAACATAGAATAATTGATTTTCAATTATTCTTTTCTCAAAAATTACGCGTTTCCGTATATTGAGACTTTGTGTGTGTGCTTATAAAAGTGTAATCTTTCTGTAAAAATACGTATCAACACCAAACTCCACTGACGTCAATGGAAAGTCATACCCTATATTTATTTTTTGTTTGCACTTTACAGTAATTATATACATATTACTTTGAGGTTTGCACAATTAATTGACCTACACTATTAATTAATTAAAATAAAGTTATTAAATATTAGCAGAATTCTATCAAGAGAAGCCATGAATTAAAAGAAAAAAATGACATTTATTTGTCAGCGTCTTTCATATTGAAAATATTTTCTGAAATTGATTAAAATTTATTTAATAGGTTTAGATTTTAATATTTGTTACTGCATTTTGCTGCATTTCAGTTATTATCGGTTCAGAATACTTCATTTTCGTTTGTAGGCGTTTCTGCGCGATTGTGTCTGTAAATATTTTTTGTGAGATGTTGACTCTCAGAGATATTGACTATAAATTTATCATTAATTTTTTTTATTCACGATGTGTGATCAGAATAGAAAGTAAATTAAGCGTTGCGCAAACAAAAAGTACAAAATCATCTAATTACTTACTGCAGTTTTCCTACAATAGAAGAAGAAAAACTTTTGACAACATTGTGGTAAGCATTGAGTTATATGTACTACGTACTAGAGAAGCCATTCCAAACAAAAATTGTGTCCTACTCTATGTCTTCGCGCATGCGCGGGAGTAGTAGTCGCGCATGGCCGAAGACTAATTTGGTATAAAATAAGATATTAATATGAAAATAAATATAAGAATTTAATATAAAATATCTTAATTTAATCTAAACAAACTAATTCTAAATAAAATGTAATAATTATTATTTTATGGAATTCACAAATCTTCAATTTACGCAATATTTTTAAGTTTGTATGGATTGCACTACAGTTCAGTTGAACATAGTCTATGTTCGGAATGGCTTCTCTAGTACGTAGTACATATAACTCAATGGTGGTAAGTCTTTAAGTATTTTAAATGTATTGATCGTTATTTGTAGGGATTATTACTCTATTTACTCGAATTTTATCTGTTTCAGATAATGTATTTGGGCTGAGTTAAGTTTTCACCATGAGAATTTTGCTGATTTAAATTTACGTTAATGTTCTGTGAAGAATAATTCTCTGACAATAACATCTGTTATACATCAGTAACCAACGTGGAAATATTATGTGCAAAAGCAATAAAAAACATCAATAAGAATGTGTAATTTTTAAAACAATCTGTCGTCCAGAAAATAAAATTACATAACTATACTTATTTATAGTTTTATTTTATCCCATATACTAATCTAAAGTATATTCGGGTAATTTTGGTGCAACCTCTCAAAAATATGGGAATTTACCCAATAGGTTTGTGAGGCTTGAGCCAAAGTTACTCGAATAAGCCTTAAATAAAAAATTTAAAGTTACAGAATACAAAAGTTTGAAATTCCCGCTAAAAAAGTTTTATATGGTCGTCCACCGTAGCGCTTTTCGTATACACTCGTAAACACGTGTTTCCGTTTTTTAGTATGAAGTTGGCGTTCTTCTCTTAGTAGAGTAATTGTTCCTGTATAGGACAGTTACTATACTCTTTGGTAATTGTGTTCTCTGACCACTACGTTTAGCTCTCAACCGCTCTCAACCGCTCTCAACACACCACTCTGCACCACTCAACACTTCTGTGATCTGTGCACAAACTATATAGAAACACTACGCGTTGGTCTGTGTAGGACAGTTACTATACTCTTTGGGTCTGTGGGTTTTATTCATAGATAAATATATTTTTATATATGAGCTTGCTACATATATATCATCTATATAGTTTGTGATATATATTTATCTATGTTTATTGCTGGTTTGCTGTGCTGGTTTGCTGCTGGGATAATTGTGTTTTGTGGTTGCTGCTCTTTACATACATATAGAAAATGGTGCGAAAATTAAAATTTCATGAGCAGAAGTTGCTTAAAAAAGTAGATTTTATATCATGGAAAGTAGACAACAATATAAGTGAAGTGAAGGTGATGAAAAAATTTTATATACAGAAACGAGAAGACTATACAAAGTAAGTTACATAGCACAACAGTGTAATTTAAATCTAAATACTTTTTTAACCCAATGTTATGTTATAAATGTTTTTGATAGATATAATAAGCTGTCCAGAGAAATTAGAGATATTGCAAATAAAATTAAAGATTTAGATGCCAACACAGAATTCAGAACAGAATCTAGTGCACAGTTATTGGAAAAGTTATATCAAATGGGACTAATACCAACAAGATGGGATTTAGCACTTGCCACTAATGTCTCTGCCAGCTCCTTCTGCCGAAGAAGGTTACCTGTAGTAATGGTACGAAGTAAGTAAAATATTTGGATTGGATTTAGAATCATTTGGAGGAGTAAGGTGTTATATTTGTTAGAGGTTTGGTCCCCGATTATAATAATACCACTCGCATTATAATGTACTGTTTTCGATAAAATAAAAATAAACTATTATAACCTAAAAATGGGTTAAACATCAAAAAACGAATACAATATTACTGTTGAATGTAATGCTGGATAGCATACATAATTTTGTGTTAGAGCGACAAGGATGTAAGGCCTATATATATGGTATACCATATAGTATATGGCATATACTATATGGTATTTTTATTTTTCGGTTGTCAACCCTCTCGTAATAAATTATGTTTACAAACAGTAAAGAAATGATTATTACATACTATACACCCAGAAATCTTTTCAGTCAAGTTAGGTTAGAAGGCTTTTGTGGTTATTTTTTTTTTACCACCCAAAAACCCTCACAGTTGGGATAGGAGACACCTCTGCTCCATCCCCAATCCCCCTCCTCCCTCCTGCCGGATAGATAAATGTTTTCATTTTGAGCTTAGGTCTATGGGATTTTCTTCTTTATTTTTCTTAAGAATGGTGTATTACCTTTTCATGGGAATTGTGTCGGGTGTAGGGGACACAGCTCTCCCCTATCCCCCACTCTCCTTCCTCTCCTCCTGCCAAACAATTCTAAATTTTTACCTAACATTCTTGAAAGAATATCATTAAACTTCATTTTTAGCAGCCCTGACTTTCTTTGTTTGGACTTAAAAAGTAAAAGATATAAGAGCAAAAGACATATCTTTAAATGTTAGAATACCTATTGTTTCATTAATACTTAACTAAATAAATTATTTTAAGCACTGTTTAGCTTACACACAATGAAGGAAAGAATTGTGTGCAATTGTCATATCTGTGAAATTGTGTGAATTTTATATGTGGTAGAGCCATGTTGCATCTATATTAGTAGTATAGTTGTAGCACGAATGGATCACATCGACCGGGGAAGGACCACACTCTCACAGAAAACCAGCGTAAAATAGCAGCTTAACGCAGCTGTGTTTCGTATGGTGAGTGTAGAGAACCGGAGACCCTTTTTTACTGGCAAAGAGGCATTCCATCTTAGTCCTCACGGGTGACAAAGCATCTGCATCTTGAGTCTTTATTGAGGATAGATGTAGATGTCTATGGGTCACAGTAACCACTTACCATCAAGTGGACTGTGTGCTCGTTTGTCACCCGATCCTATAAAAAAAAAATTAATTTAGATTGATTTACAGGTCTTTTATATTCACACACTTCATTAAGAGGAAAGATGTGAATGGTTACAAAAGTTTGTTAAACTAATATACAAACTATCCTAGAAGACACAGACAAAGTTCTTTGAATTTGTTTCAGATAAAATGTCAGAGAATTTAAAGGAAGCAACAAAATTTATAGAACAAGGCCACGTGAGGGTAGGACCTGAAGTAGTGAAAGACCCTGCCTTTCTTGTTACACGCGCTCTGGAAGACCTAGTGACATGGGTAGATGGTTCTAAAATCAGAAAGCATGTCATGGAATATAATGAGATGGTATGTATAATTTTACAATAATTGACTCTTGACACATTGAAATATTATATTGTTAACCATTTCTTAAAGATTAGTACTAGTCATCTCTTTTGAGCTTACAATTACCTTTTGCAATGCTTACCCCATTCTTCACCTGAAGAGACACATATTTAGGATGTTTCATTATTGTTGCATGCATTTGTATTTTTTCCATTTGCTTTCACCATGCTCACAATCTCAAAAAATTATATTGTTATTTTTTTTTATTATTGTTAAAAATTTAACTTTTTAACATATATATCAGTTTCCCTCTATTACCTCAGCCACAGGAAGACATGGAGTGGACTATTTCGCCACCGCTACTTAGTAATTTAAAAATTGGTTGTCACATTTTCTATTTAGATTTTAATTGATAAAATAACATATAAATATTATTTCATCTGTACATGTTGCTGTATAATATGGTATTAAATGAAATATGCTTATTTGTTATAGCATTTTCACATATTTATCAACCGTGGTAGCTCATGGGCTTAGTTGCTCGTTTTTCACAGTATGCAAGCAACCCAGGTTCCTCATTAGCACCAATGAAATTGTTAATTGCAATTTTAAGTGCTAATTTACCACATGTTCTGTGGTGACGGAACACATTGTGAAGAAATCTGCATGTCTGAGAAATAATAAAAAAAGAGATATTTCGAAGACATGTGAAGTCCGCCAACATGCATTGGGGCAGTGCGGTGGACACTTTCTTGCCTTAAAATCCTCTCAGAAGTGAGATGAGTTCTGTGTAGACCACTACATGGTGTGTGTTAAGTATTTACATTGTGTAGTTATTAGTATTTGTCAACAAACCATGGTAACATTTTGTGTGAGCCAGCTTCTCTGCACTGCTTTCGGAATACCCCGAGACCACACCGATAGGAATTGCGTGTCGTTGCCACTTTTACTAATACTACTAAATGAACTTTAATTTAATAATTTAACTGTAATTTACAGCCATTTCTATAACTTGAAATTTTAATCAGTTTTTCGTTCTAATTTCAAACGAATAAGTCAAAGACGCCCCCTGCCATGCTAATCGTGAATTGTGTTGTCCTCTCCAGCTGATACTTTGTATCTCTCCTACCCAGGGTACAAATTAGAACACTCCTTTGTGCCCCGGCTTGGAGTTTGCGTGTACGTCAGAGAGGACATCTGTTTTCGACGCTTCGGTAGCCTTGACGGTATGAACCTGTCGCATCTTATGGCAGCGCGTAGACAGCGACGACCATCCCCGCGTCTACGTGTGCCTCTATAGGTCCCATAACGGCAATGTCGACACAGACCGACTCATCGAACACGTCCAAATGGCTGCAGACTCCGTGCTACAACAGGTCCCATCCGCAGAGATCATGATGCTTGGTGATTTTAACGCCCACCACGCTGAATGGCTTTGCTCTCGTTTAACCGATCATGCGGGTAGAACTGTTTATGACTTTGCTTTGGTATATGGTCTGACACAACTGGTTACCTTGCCTACGTGGATCCCAGATGTGGAAGATCAATGTACCTTCCCTGCTGGACCTACTGCTGAACTCTCATGCAGATGGACCTTCAAGAAAAGAGCCTACTCCTTTTTAAAAGGCCGGCAACGCATCTGCAATTCCCCTGGTGTTGCGGTTGTTCATGGGCGGCGGTAGTCACTTACCATCAGGTGAGCCGCATGCTCGTTTGCCCCCTCTCCTATAAAAAAAAAAAAGATGGATATAGGTATCCGTCGATGCCCCTCTTGGCTCCTCGGAGTATTGTCTGATGCGGAGTACAGTGCTACTCACGCTCCCATCGCGGTTGCGTTCTGCAGGTTGCCGTCGTGTTTGGCATTATAGGTCAGCCCGATTGGGACTGGATGCGATCTTTTCTTGCATCCTACCCTTGAAGGCGGGTTTGCTTCTCGCCGGATGATCCCAGCGTTGTTGCTGATTGTGTAGCTGATGTGGTGCTACAGGGAATGGAACTTTTTATTCCATCATCTGTGGTACCTATCGGAGGCAGAACCCAGCCATGGTTTGGTCGCTCCTGCAAAATTGCATTACGCCATAAGCAAGAGTTACCAGGCCTGGGCTCTCGCATCGACGTCTCGGAATGCAAATACCAGCGCTCTTAAAAATAAGTATAATTCCGCCTCCAGGTCCTTCAAAAATGTCATTTTCAAGTCAAAGTCAGAGCACATCAGAATTGGCAAGAAACTAGTTCGTCTTCTTTCGGGAACGCGTTCATTCTGGTCTCTCGCCAAGGCTGTCCAAGGGAACTTCTGTCAGCCATCTCTCCCATCTCTGCACAGGGAGGACGACTCACTGTCCCTTGCAGGATGTACTGTTTACCCAACGCTCGTTACGCAGAGTACTAAGCTCCCTGGATATCAACAAGTCGAGTGGGCCTGATGCCTGATGGCGTCCCTCGTATTGTGCTGAAGACGTGTGCTCCAGAGTTGACACCGGTTTTAACGCGTCTTTTCCGGTACTCCTATTCCCTAAGCGTAGTCCCGAGATGATAGAAGACAGCTTTGATGAACAGCTCTGATTCCTAAAAAAGGTTCTGATCCGTCCAACTACGAGGGTGGATTGAAAAGTACTCGGCCTAACACAGATCCATTCAATTCTAAAAATCAAATCTACCCACATTATTTAGTTCAGTTCAGACTAGTTCATTGTGTGAAGTTCGAAACGTGTGCGATAATTAGTTGTGATTTTATAAATTTATTTACAAAGTAATCGGACATAATTTCCGCGAATGGAGCAAATCGAGCAGCGTGCCGTCATTAAGTACCTCCATAAGAAGGGGCTATCATCAAAAGCCATCCATGATGACATGGTCAGTACATTAGGCGATTGTGCTCTGTCATATTCATCCGTCAAAAAATGGATAGCAAAATTTAAGCGTGGTAGAGAGATTGTGAAAGATGAACCCCGCTCTGGAAGGCCTTCGACGTCAACTACTGACGAAAATATTAAAAAAGTACTTGATTTAATAATGGGAGACCGCAGATTAAAAATTAGAGAGATAGCCGAGATTATAGGCATCTCTTATGGACGAACTCAAAACATCATTGTCAACGAGTTGGGTTTCCACAAGGTGTCTGCGAGGTGGGTCCCGCGACTGCTTTCAGTTGAACAAAAAAGGACGCGATTGACTATTTCACGCGACTGTTTGGAGTTATTTGAAGCCGATGCAGATGATTTTTTGAATCGTTTTGTTACTATGGACGAAACATGGGTTCATTACTGTACACCGGAAACAAAACAACAATCAAAACAGTGGAGAAGACCTGGTTCACCACCCCCTAAAAAGGCTAAGTCGATTTTGTCGGCAAATAAGGTGATGGCTTCAGTATTCTGGGACTCGAAAGGTGTGATTATGATTGATTATCTTGAAAGGGGTCAGAATATAAACTCTGATTACTACTGCACCTTACTACGTCGTTTACGAGAGGAAATAAAAGAAAAACGTCGAGGAATGCTCAGAAGAAAAGTCCTGTTTCATCAAGATAACGCCTGTGTTCACACGTCAGTACAGTCAATGGCTGAAATTCACAACTGTGGCTTTGAACTGTTACCGCATCCGCCGTATTTACCTGATCTGGCACCATCAGACTTCTTTCTGTTCCCTAACCTAAAAAAGCACTTGGGAGGTCAAAGATTTTCGACAAACGACGAGGTCAAAGCAGCTGTAGACGCATATTTTGACTCTAAGGAAGAATCATTTTTTTTCAACGGTCTAAATGCTTGGAAGGGGAGGTGGCAAAAGTGTATTGAACTTGATGGTGATTATGTAGAAAAATAAAAATATAACTGATTTAGTATTTGTTTATTTTCTTGGTTAGGCCGAGTACTTTTCAATCCACCCTCGTATATGCTTATCGCCATCACCTCCTTGTTATCTAAAATAATGGAGTACATTATTAACAGCCAGCTCATGCGGTACCTTGAGGATCACCAGGATCACCAGCTGATTAGTGACCGTCAGTACGGTTTCCGTCGCGGTCGCTCGGCTGGCGATCTTCTGGGTTACCTAATTCATAAATGGGCGGAGGCAGTAGAGTCCAAGGGGGAGGCGTTGGCCTTTAGTTTGGATATAGCAAAGGCCTTCAATCTGGTCTGGCACAAAGATTTTCTTGCGAAGCTTCCTTCTTATGGGCATCCCGAGAAAGTCTGCAATTGGATCACCAATTTTCTTGCAGATCGGGGCATCAAGGTCGTAGCTTCGATTACAATCATATCAATGACATGTTGCAAACCGGTAACAATTGCTATGTGGATAACAGCACTGGTGATGCTTTATACACCGGCCGTGCCAATATTTCTCAGGAAAACGTCGCAGAGTACCGGGACCAACTTGAGTCTGAAGTCGAGACTTTGTTGAACAAAGTCTCGGACTAGGGGTGACTAAATCTGGTCCAGTTCAATCCCCAGAAGACACAAGTTTGTGCATTTACCGCCAAAAAGAACCCCTTCGTCTTATCTCCTCAGTTTTAAGGCACTCCCCTTGTTGCTTCAGCCAGTATCGGAACTCTCGGCGTCGACATATCGGGTGACGTGCACTTTTGTAGTTACATGGAAGAGAAGGCCAAATTAGCCTCTAAAAAGCTTGGTGTGCTCAGCAGAGCGAGACAGTATTTCATGCCGGCAGACCGTCTGCAACTTTAAAAGGCGCAGCTTCAGCCGCACATTGAATACTGTTTCCCTCTCTGGCCTGGAGTTCTCCAGTTCCACGTCCTTCAATTTGATCGCATCCAGCGCAGAGCTGTTCGAATCGTCGGCGACCGCACTCTTTCCGATCGGCATTGGCATTGCGAAGAGATTTTGCATATCTTTGCGTATTTTATCGCATTTACCAGGGAGAGTGCTCTGAGGAATTGTTCGGACTAATTCCAGCCACACAATTTCACCATCGCACATCGCGACAATACTCGCGATACCATCCATACCGTCTGGACCACTGGCGATCCACCACTGTGTGGTTTAAAAGAAGTTTTCTTCTTCACACAACTTCCTTGTGGAATCTATTACCATCAGAGATTTTTCCGCACCGATACAACTTAGGGACCTTCAAGAAAAGAGCGTACTCCTTTTTAAAAGGTCGGCAACGCATCTGCAATTCCCCTGGTGTTACAGTTGTTCATGGGCGGCGGTAATCACCATCAGGTGAACCGTATACTCGTTTGCCCGCTCTCCTATAAAAAAACACAGCATATCATTAAGCTGAAATTTTACGCTGGTATTCTGTAAAGCTGAACGCACATTTGTCAGACCGTACGCGCCGTACGGTGTTGACCAACGCAATACCATTTTAGAATTCGTTGTATGAAATTATATAAAACCTTGCACCGTACGCGCCGAATTTTATAAAATGCGATAGGTATCCGAATATTGAAGGACGCATGCTGATGAAGTCATATAACGAGGCGCGTTCGGCGCGTGCTGATACTCAGTATTATCTAATGTTGCCAACTTAGTGGATTTTCCACTAAAACTGGTGGTTTCGACTTTCGTTTCGATACATATTTTTACTTCATTTCAGGCTTTAATATAATGACGTCACAAATATGGCAGCCACGTATGGCGGGTTTAGAAGTCACTTGATAATATTTGAATTTTTATAAGTTTTAATTAATTCGTAATTAATTATACATGATTTGAAAAACATTTTGGCGTCGATTATCAATATGTATATTTAGTGATTATTTATTTAAATACAATAAAAAAGTGATAGTTAATTTGAATTCTAAAACCCAATTATACCAAATTACTTAATTATCATAAAAAATACCTCAAACATATGCAAGGGCTTACATATGCTTCCCTTACACATACAACAACTCTTTCATCTGGTTCAGTTGGCCTTCTAAATCTCGAGTTTTCCATAGTGAGATATGGTTTTAGTATATGTAGCAATTCTTGAAATTTCTTTTATGTTAAATATAAATATCTCAAAAATTGTTCATCGTCATCTAATAAGTCTTTAAATAAAGTATAATACTCTCCATATAACGGCCTTTTTAAATTAATATTATGAATCCAGAATCTTCTTTTTCTTCGAATTTTATTTTCTTCTTCTGCCTCTGCCAATAAGCAGGCTATTACAATTTTTTTTTTACTATACCGTTTCACACCAGTGGTTGGATAAAACTGCAAAATTTGTTGGTAATACAAAAGATTTGCGGACGGCGCGTACGGTGCTGACAAATGTGCGATTAGCTTATCAGCGTGGCGGCTCTACCACGATTGAGCCGCGACGCATTCGGGCTAAACCATAATATAGCTGCACCGTGGCTTTATCACGTAAAAAGCTAATTTTGAAATAATTTATGCTTTTAGGTTTTGTACATAATATCTAATATTAACGACACATTTTATTTTGTTTCAGAGAGATGATTTTGATATGCTGTAACTTCAAAATAGTTCTGTCTTATATCATGTAAATATTAAAGGAATCAAATTAAATAAGTTTTTTGTTATGAATGGTTTCTTATTTATACTTCTTTCAACACAAATTCACTAAATATATTTATAATATGTTAATTGAGCTACCTAGAGATAATATTATGTACATCTTAAGATATCTTGATCAGAATGTAAAAAGAAACACTCTGTTGACTTCCTTAATTTTTGGCACGCAAGAAGAGTCAACTCTACTCTGGTACATTATGCATTGACACTTATATTTTATTCCTTGAACATATAGGTTTCTTTATATTTTTCTTCTCTGAGGTATGTTACAAATTAACATGTAAAACTGCAATTAACACCTTCAGTGTTTTCTGCAGACTTCCAAAAAGGAGATGGTACTCAATTCGACTGTATGTTTTTTTTTATGTGTTACCTCATAACTTTGTACTGGGTGAACCAATTTCGATGATTCTTTTTTTATATGAAAGCTGATAGTTCTCGTGTGGTCCCATATGAATTTGATCAAGGTCAGACCAATGGTTATTGATTTATTCTTAAATAACTTATATTGAAGTCGGCTGTACAAAATTTTAAATTTTAAATTATTCGTTGATCAATTTTTACTTCTATGCAGTTTTGATTAGAATATGTTTTTCACATAAATATGGTTGTTTGGAAAGAATCAACACTTAATATGCCTATAATACTTTCCAGTCCAGTAGCTTGAAAACGTCTTCCAAAGCCTTGTCTTACACCTCTCTGCATTTGGATAGGTTTCATACTCTGGTTTTGTACTCGGATAGCCATCGTAGCCCTACTGCATTTGCAGTTACCTTTACAATTTTTCTTTTTAATAAAATTTCAATAACAAACGAACTTACAGTACCACACGATGGTTAGCCGCTACTGCAGCTCATGGACACCTGTAACCAACTCCAAACAAAGAAGGCTGGCTACCAAATCTGAGGACAAAGATGGAATACCTCAAATCATGTTATTATACTGGCTCTCTATACACTACAGTTTCACAGATATTTGGTGGTCGAAATAGGTGAGTGTGGTACCCATCTAGACGGACTCAGTAACAGGACAGTTAAGGAGTCCCACCATCTAGGAAAATCTTCATCACGAATATCCAAGAGCACTTATTCATATAGACAGTATATCATCTCTGTGGCTCCTGTTTTCCAATACTACGGCTATCCTTCTGATAGCGTCTGCTTGAGTTGCGGCAGCTTCTGATAGTTTCCTCAATGCCTCGGCTTGTATTAACATGGCCTCTGCACTCTTCGCCGCCACGCCAACGCGCTGTTCCTCTGCTTTGGCGCGGATTAGTTCGGCATCAGCTCGTTTCTTCTCTATATCTATAAGCCATTTTGGATATAAACCTGCAAACCAAGGAAGATTCACATTACGCAGTAATATAATATAAACAATCTCAAGACCGAATTTTGGTCGCGACGCCCAGTCTCAGTCCTGGCTATAAATAATATAATTGAAAACATACTCTGTATAAGCGGCTCATTAGAATTTTGGTCAGAATCGTCATCATAGGAGTTCGCACTTTCTTCACTTTCCTTATCACCGTCTGAAACAAAACACTAAAAGTATAATTCCATCCATCCATCCATCCATAAAAGTTCACTGCTAAACATAGGCCTCTATCATAGATTCCTTGCACCACAAGCCTCATAGGGGAGATTTCAACATGGTTGCCACGCTAGGCTGGCAGATTAGCAACCGAAGTTTTTAATTATTTTGAGTTGTTTTCAGAAAGATGCTTTTTTACAGAAATAGGGTGACAAACGAGCACACATTCCACCTGATGGTAAGTGGTTGCTGAGGCCCATATACATCTGTATTATCCTCGTTTGCGAATCAAAATGCAGATGCGTTGTCAGCCTTGAGGACTAAGATGGAGTGCCTCTTTTCCAGTAAAAAGGGTCTCCAGATCTCTACACTCACCATACGAAACAGCAGTGTTAAGCTGCTATTTTACGTTGGTATTCAGTGAGAGCGTGGTCATTCCCCAGTCGTGCTACAACTATACTATAAATATAGCTGCAGCTTGGCTCTACCACGTAAAGAAAAAAATGCTGTCACCTATCTCTGTTTTACTTTTCCCCTGTCGCCTCTTACTACACCCACGGGATGATATGGGATAGTGGATATATTTACACTGGCGCTACACTGTAAAAAAAAAGTATTATTGTTTCATACGATTTTTATCATTATAAAGCTGGATGTGGTGTGGATGTCTGTCCCTATCATCTTTCCTCGGGGTTGGGTAGTTTTCCACAAATACACCATTGCACCTCTATTACACATATTATGGGAAATGTCTGCCAGATGGATAATTAAATTAAAAAAAAAACTGAAAAATATTTTTAAACAAATATTAAAATGACCAAAAGCAATAAAACAATAAAAATAAGGAAAGACCCTTTTCACTGGAAAAGATGCATTCCATCTTAGGTGGGTGACAACGCATCTGCATTTTGATTCGCAAACGAGGATAGACGTAGAAGTCTATGGGCCACAGCAACCACTTACCATCAGGTGGACTAAGTGCTCGTTTGTCACCCTATCCTATAAAAAAATACAAGGTATAGTGATACCCAATGTAAAATGTGTACTTTGGTGATAAGGAGCAGTAACCTAAAAATTTCAAATTTTCAAAATATCCAGAAACAAAGCTGTAGGCGTGAACTACTTGCAAAATAATGAATATTTTGTTCTGGATAAATTTTCCAAAAACGCAATTTGAGCGAGTTATAACGATTTTAAAAAAGACACGACTGGTGTGTCATATACCACATACAAAAGTAATCTATGGCACGCCTAGCGTGCCATTCGCACTGAACCGGTTAAATTTATGTATGTAAACTGCATGCACGATACAGGAGTAAAACATAGTGTGGAGGTAACATTGTATAAAAAAATCAAAATACAGATGCGTTGTTACTGAGGACTAACTAACATCAAATGCCTCGTTTCTAATAAAAATGTATTCACAATGGAGTAAAAATTCAAACAGTTTACATTTCAATAGAGTATCTTGATTGTATGAAAATCAACTTAACTATCTCAAATTAAAATGAAGTCAATAATAATATAATATTAACGATTTGCTGTTTTTCGACTGTGCTCTAAAATTACTTTAATATCACACATTTTAAAGTACCTACCTACTTGTAAACATTATAAATTACTCGACCTCCTCTGCTATAAATTATAGATCTACTTTTATACATACAAATAAGCGAGGTATTTATTTATAAAATGTTATGTACACAAAGGACGCAACCGTTTTGTACGAAAGTTTGCCTTCAACTGGTGGACTATAGCACCATTGTTTCTCAAATTTCTTTTTAATCGCCTTCTGGTTTTAAGTTTGACTGAGTTACTTATTTTGAGAACAATTTTTAAAAACACTAAATTGACTAAATGAAATAGCGGTGAGTGATCGATTTCTAGAGATTGCGTGCCACAGGCAAAAAGTTCAATTTTGAAGACAATGACTAACTATAAGTTAAGACACGACCGAGGATTGTTGAACCACATAATGAGAAGGATATAAAAATTCACATTGGCAATGCAGGCAATACTGTATCAGAATACAGACTACAACTAACCTGACAATCTATCACTGCCATTGCTCTCGGCATTGCAGAATTCACTTGATGCATTTTCCTGATATGCTTCTAATTTTACCTCTGATGGCAAGTGGTTCTGAAACCAAACAATGTTATTTACATAGAAAAGTGGTAGAGCCATGCTGCAGCTATATTATAGTTGTAGCATGAATTGATTGGCTCAACTAGGGAAGGACTATGCTTTCACAGAATGCAAGCTTTAAATAACTACTTAATGCCGCTGTATTTGATATATATAAAAATCTATTGCTGTCCTTTTGTTTCACTAAAACTCAACCGATTTTGATGAAAGATCGCTACTAAATAAAATAAAAATATACACATGGAAGCTGTGACAGCTCGTGAATTTAGCAGCACGCGCGCAACCAGAATTCGAAACTTGCCGGTACCAATGAAATTGTAAATTGCTGTTTTGAAATTTACAATTGTCAGTTACCACTAAAGGATCTTCAAGAAACCAGCATGGTCCTTTCAAAAAGGCCGGCAATGCACCTGAAATGCTCTGGTGTTTCAGTTGTTCATGGGCGGCGGTAAACACTTCCCCCTCTTCTATAAAAAAAAACCTCATGCTCAGTGTCAGTGCCGTTGACCTAAAACTTTCAGCAATATGAGACGGTTTGGTAGGCATGGGAATATAATCATTTATTTGTTACAACCTATCAAAAGTTCACTACTGAACATAGGCTTCCAATAGATTGCCTTATAGAGGGATATTCGCCATAGTTGCCAAACTTGACAGGTGAGTTGGCAACTGCCATGTTTTTATTCATTTGAACTGTAATCAAGGAAGATGCTGCTTTTAATCTGTTTGTTTCCCTCTGTCGCCTCTTATGAAAATCACGGAATGATTTGGAACCAATGTGAATGACTTTATAATAACATTTTTTTATTTCACATACGAACACACACTGGGTAGTCAAGTTGGTGAGCACATGTCCGATAACCTCACTGGGACTGTTTGTTTCTAATCAAGTCTGAAGAATTTGGGATCTGCATTATTATATGGATATACCGCATTTTGTCAGTTGCAAAAACCTCATTCATTGATTTGCAGTGTACATAGCGTACAGATGAGATAGGCGAAAAAATTTAACTCTCTCACTAACACCGACATTGCTACTAAAGAAAAAAAAATATAAATAAAACAATAACTTTAAAAGCTAGAAAAATATATATATATATATTAAAAAGATGGGATTGTGGTCAAGCACTAGCTTTATAATAAGTAAAAATAATAATTTATTATTTTGCTTTATCAGCTCACAACAATTCATTGCTGGACATGAGACCCTCTCGTTTTAAGAAGTTGCAAACCAGTACCAAACGTCTCGCACTTTTTTTGTAG